TGTGTCTCCTGATAGAAGTCTCCAGAACCTATTAAGTATTCTTGCTGAAAAAGCCAACCCTGAATCTGTCGAAGCCTCAAAATCTAACTACCAGTTTACAGGAAATACAGGAAGAAACACTAAACAACACAATATAGAGTAAGAAAAAAAAAATCCAAACTGCAAATGCGATAGGACAAACAACCTGTTTCTTCAACCAAAAACTGTACAAAAAAAAAAAAAAGAGGGAAGAATGAGAATCTTAGATTCAAATTGTCTTAAGAGATGTTTACCGTTTTAATGTGCAAATCTTATTTAGCTCCTGATCAAAGAAAGTGTAAAAAAATAAAACAACTTGGGAAATTGAAACATTAATTGCTTAAAGATATTAAGAAATTTGTAGTTTCAGTTGTGATGATAGAATTGTGGTTATATTTTTTAAGAGTCTTTACCTTATATTTAAATTAAACTTTTTTTTGCAATAGATTCACAGGCAGTTAGAAGAAATGATACTGAGGTCCCTCATGCACCCAGTTCCCCCAATGGTGATACTTCAAAACTATAGTACAATATCACAACCAAGATATTCACGTTGACACAGTCAGATACAGAATTTCCCTCATGCTGCCTTTTCCAGCCATACCCACGTCTCTCCCACCCACACCTTCCTCTCTAACCCCCTGGCAACCACAAATCTGTTCTCCAATTTAAAATTTTGTCATTTCAAAAATGTTAGATAAATGAAATCAGATACTATGCAGCCTTCTGGGATTTATTTTTCCCCACTCAGCATAATTACCTGGAGATTCATCTGGGTTGCTGAGTGTATCCATAGTGGGTTCCTTTGCATTGCTGAGTAATAGTCCATAGTAAGGATGTATGGCAGTTTGTTTAACCATCTACCTTCTCAAAGACATCTGCATTGTTTCCATGGGCTATTATGAATAAAGCTGCTACAAACATTTGTGCAGACCCCTTACCTTTTAAACATATCTCCTTAAATATTTATGGGTGAGATAACATGATATCTAGGATTTGCTTCTAAAAAAACTCCAGATTGAGTGAGATGCCAAAAAACAAGATCAGCCATGAGTTTGAGTATATTATACTATTATCTCTACGTTTGTGTATGTTTATAAAATGGAGACAGTAAGAAAAAATTACTTATCTAACTGCTACATACCCACATACATAAACACATACATCTTCAAGTAAAATTGAAGGGATGCTTTTTTATCTAATGACTTTAGCCGGTGCCAAGATCACAGGAGCTCTTTATCTAAAACACAGAGCCCACACCTTCCAGTGATCATCACGGTAATATTCACTCTACCAATTTAGGCAGATCCAACCTAGGCATCTGTTAACTTCCTTTCGGAAGTTCTTTATTAGGCTGCAGGGTTGAGATAATAGGTAGTCTGCAATGCTGGACAAAAGCAGGTGAGTAATCACCGTAATCAAATGTATGAGATTCATGAGTGGCTTGTCTTCAAAAGAGAGGGTTCGTGTCTGACTTGAGCAGGTCCTTATCATCAAGACAAATGCTGAGAGAACAGAAGTGTGATTACTAAAGATGAAGAGCAACAAACTATGTGAGCACAATCAAGCCTGAAAATGAACTGAAATGTATTTTATATTATGCGAAGGCTGCTTTTGTTTTTAAGCCACTCTAGAGGACAGGATATTATTATCATGTTCAGTCTGCAAGTTAATGGTTCTTCAGTATAATTCTGTAAAATGGTATCTACTATTTGGTGCCATCGATATTCTATCAGCTCATTCTGCCCTTGTGCTTTATCACACCCTCCTCTTCACTCCGCCATTTATTTTTCTATGCAGGGGGCCTTACAAAAGTAAAGATCCACTCAAAGACCTCAAGCAAAGAAGAACACATAAATACCAACCCACTGATGGGTCTGAGATTAAAAGCCAAGACCTCCAAAGGAAATACTTATGATGACTTTAAATGCCAGGTAGTGCAATGGCAACAAATGGACATCTCTTGGTAGGTGTTTATTACCTGTCCATGCACTGTAATAAGCAAGGCTAATCCTTAAATAACCTTTTTTTTTAATCAAAAGTGGGATAGCTGTCAACAAATAAATCCCAATAAGACAAATTACAAAGGAACATGCAAATGTTATAGTTGTATTGTAGTTTGGTTATATCAAGTATCCCTCCTATTAAGTGGGCCCCCTCTTGCTGTAGAAATAGTAATGTTTATTATGTTAGGATTTATCATTATTATTATGCTACGAAAGGTAGGAAAAAAATGTTCCACTAATAGGCTATCTGTATGACACTTAAATGCCTATAAATTGAAAGATATCAGGATGGCTGAGTGGTGCGATGGTTAAGAACTGGGTTGGTACGCCAGAGGGCCCCAGTTCGGATCCCACATATGAGGGCCAGTGACACTGCCCTCCACAGCTAAGATGCTGAACAATAGCTCAACCTGGAGCTGGCTGCCGGGAGTTATTGGCGATGGCGTAGGCTGTAGCCACTGCTGCAGTGGGTTGCCATGGGCTACCGTGTATAGTCAGCAGCCCGGGTGAGCGGCCAGCAGCCGCAGTGAGAGGCCGTCCAGAAGCCGGCAACTGATCTGCCTCACCCGGGAAGAGCGCAATGATGGTGCCAACTTGGGCCAGTGAAGCAACGTCCTCCACAACTGGACTGAAGAACAAAAGGACAGCAACTTGTCTGTTCTCCTTACCCCAATTCCCCAGTGCTGTTCCCATCCCCCAATTCCCCAATAAAAATCTTAAAAAAAAAGATATTAATCAATTCTGTTAAAAACAATTAAGGTATAGATTGGATCACTTGATTGGTTTAGCAAGTTAGAGGTTCTATTAATGGAAAGATATCTATTTGTGACACCATATTAGGAAACGAAGAAACTACAGTTGAGTTCAGAATCTTGTTCACATGACATGAGTCAGAGCAGAGACGTGTAGAATTAAAACCCCAAATGACATAGCCCACAAGGAATGGTGCTATAGGCTTGCATTGAGGAGATTAGTCACAGGGCTGCTGGAGACAGAAAAAGGAAAAGGAGAAGAACTGGGCTCATGAACATAATGGAAAACATAACTCAGAAGGAGCTGAGAAAAAAGACACTAAAGTTAAATACATACAAGCACGTATTTTTGGATGCTCTCTTCCTCTATCCTTTGCCATCTTCCTTTACACTCACAACCACACATTTTCTGGGCCCTGTAGATTCCGGTGCTACAGTATACATTTTTAGATGGTTTGTGGACACTGACAAGACATTGGAAGTTGAAACTCTTAGTATTCACCTTGACCTACTTAATGGTTAATCTAAAATACTTTGCATAAAATGAAATGCTCTTGCCCAAAATCTTTATGGCTGATTTGCTTATATATCTCCTTACCTTTTATCATAGCAACCACCCGTGCCTTTTCTACAGAACCAGGATTTCAGAGGGGGCCATTCTTGTGAGCTGAGGGGGGTTTCAGAGGAAAGAACACAGAAGAGAACAAAAGGTGGAAATACAACGACAGAACGAAGGCAACGGGGACGACCCTAAACCTGGAAAGAATTCCAAGAACAAGCCACACAAGATGGCTTCGGGGAATGAATGGCTATATGCAGCAGGAGCGGAGGCTGTGTGGAGTGGAGTAGAAGGTAAGCTTGAAAGGGCAGGCTGGAGTGTGGAGGATATCTACATCATCTTGCCCCTGCCCAAGACATGCCTCATTATGTAAGTTCCCTTAATAAACTTGATGTTATGAAAGAGAGAGAGAGAGAGAGAGAGAGAGAGAGAGAGAGAGAGAGAGAGAGAGCGAGAGCAGGTTGGAGCCAGGAAGCGGCACCCACTGAAGCCCAGGTGAAGCATTTAGACCACACACCTGCCATAGGCCCTTGGGGAGCTATCACAGGTTTTACATGCAGTGGTGGTTAAAGAAGATATAACTAATGGTAAGGGGCAGGCGAGAAAGGAACAGAAGACCAGAGGTAGGAGGCTTTACTAATTGTTCCAGGTGAAGCTATAGGGTTTGATCTAGGAGAGTGAAAGTGAGAAGGGAAAGGAAAAATTTAATTTGAGGATCAGTGTGAAAGATACATACACTTAAACCTAGTTTTGTCCTCAATTAAAACCTAGAAAATGGTCATTTGTAATCATTGCCTAAGAACTACTTATGAAATGCCAAGGATCCTATCATTATCATGATCAAACACATAAGAGGGCATGAAAATTCTAATGGTTGATACAGTCATTTTTAAAGGAAGCTTTGATTAAACTTAACAGAGCCTTGAAAAAATAAGATTTTGATATAAGTAAAAATTATATTTAAGGAGACCATGATTGGTTACAAAGTGATGAGTAGTTTTAAATTTCTAAAAAAAATTAACCGTTGATTTTAGCAAGGCAATAATGACTTACAAGACTGACAGATTTATTTTGTCTGCTTTTGCGAATCTGCTTTTTATAATTACATTCATAGACATATTTTCTCTACTTTCTCAGATCACTATTGCAAACCTATTACTAATCAAAAGTTAATTTTTTTCATATGCCCCATGAGTAAAACTTTAAAATATTATAGGTCACACCAGGCAAATCATCTATTTTGTTGTGTATATGCCAACTTAGTTTCTAGCCTCATTTACTTAGTACATTTTTATTGAGCACCTATTATATTGTAAGTATTCGTTGCTGGGTGTGCAATGAATAAAACAGATATGGTCTGTTCACATGAGAGCACACAGTATAGTGGAAAACACAGATGTTAATTTGAAAAAAAACACCCAAATATATAATTTAAAATGTGATAAGCACTATGAAGAAAACTCACAGGGTGCTATAAGTATTGATAACAAGGAGGCTCAACCAAGGCTGGGTCTGGCAAGGTTTCTTAAAGGAAACTGTCTTTGAGTTGAAATCCGTAAGTATGTAGAAGCATGCAACAGGAAAAAGAGTAAGGGAGGGAGAGCTAGATGGGAAAATGAGCAGAGGGAAAGGACTGCATATAATAAAATGAAAACACTCTCTAACCTGTTGGGTAATGGTGTCCCATGGTCCCTGCTGCAGCCGGGTCTTATAGCAGTCATGGACGCCTTCCCATATGTCCGTCAGAGCTACAGGCCTTCCATCTGTGACAGGGCATGGGAAAGACAGTCAGTTAGGAATCTGTGTGACACAATGGTGCTCGGTGTCTATCTAGAACTATCTGAAGAATATTATGATTTTTTTAAAATCCTTGCTAATAGACATACTATTTATATACCAAAAGAGAATTACTAATTTTTTTCCTAAGGGAAATTTAAACATTCAAGCTTCTCTCCTTTGTGACCATCTAGCAGTTAAAGTATCTGCTCCTTTAATGCCTCTATGAATTTTACAAAATAAATAAAATCCAAATGTGTTTTAGAGAAAATAGGTACAAGCATAGGCAAAGGACCAGGTAGACAGACTCCCATATTCACTAGGGTGCACTATGGATGCCACTGAAGTCTCTTTTTTTCCTTTCTTTATTATTAGTTTCAGGTGTAAAAAACAATGTAAGATTAGGCATTTTCACCCCTCACAAAGTGATAACCCCCCTCCTCCAATCTACTACCCCTCTGACATCGTATATAGCTGTTACAGTTCCACTGACTCCAGTCCCTATGCTGTACTCCACATCTTGTGACTAGACATATATATATACTAAATTATAATTGACATTCAGTATTATTCAGCTTTAGCTTCAGGTGTACAGCACAGTGGTCAGGTTCTACACCTTCCAGGAAGTAGTCTCCCTAACAAGACATGTGTCCATCTGACACCCTACAAAATATTTACAACATTATTAATTATATTCCCCAAACTGTCTTTCATATCCCCATGGCAATACTGTGGTTACCAATTTGTGCTCTCTAATCCCTTCCCTCTCTCCCTCATCCCCACCCCGCTCCCATCTAGCAACCATCAGTTTTTCCTCTATATCTCTGAGACTATTTCTGTTTATTTTGCTCATTTATTCCTCTGAAGTCTTAATATGTTCTGCAGTCCTTGGAATCAGAGACCATACACATACTTCTTTCACTCCCTTGTTGACTGAGTAATGTCCAGATTACTCTGTTGGATATCATGTGGAATAGAGTGGAGGAAAACACACGATGTCTCCTAGTAAGGAGCCTACCATCTAGTAGGGAAACTATGACAAGTGTTATCAATAGCACAGCATATCAACAACTAAAATACTGGGGAGAAAAAGCGATCGCTGACAAAAGAAAAGTGCAGGTCTCTGACAGTCTCGAGAAAGGAGACATAAACAGACAGTTTGTGGCAGGTGGAGAAGGGGCTGTTAGGCGTGGGACGAAAAGACATGAGAAGGGATTGGCATGAGGAGATTAGCAAAAGATTCAGTGAACAATAATTATCCTTTTCTTTGTTCAAACAGCTTCAATTATTCACCTGTATACTTAACCACTCAAATAACATATTTTATGAAGACCACTATGGCACAAGATAATAAATAAAGTGGAAAAATAGGTAAATAGATCTAAGTTCAGGAAAAATACCAGAAAGAGGGAGTTACCTAGAACTTCTGTACCACACACCACCAGAAAAAAGGTGGACTAACCGCTGGAATTTACTGCAACTCGGCCCATTCAGAGCTACCAAGTCCTTCAAGCTTATGGCTGTGATGTTTTCCTTGGCCAAGTATACAATAATTTAAAGAAAACCCATCAATATAGTAAATCAGTAGATACAAAGAAATATTTGGTCATCAAAGGCAACAAAATTTGGGGAAATAATCTACTCAAACTACCCCCCTCCCCCCACAAAAAAACCCCACAAAAACCAAAAACCAAAACCAGAACAAAAAACCCAAACAGCACTGTATTCAGACTTATAGGGTACAAGTAGAGATGTGACGGGAGAGGAAAAAGAGCACTAGATTCGGAGTCCGGGCTGAGTTTGAATCCTGGCATTGGCACTTAATCTTTACGCGACTGCAAGTTTTTTAGCTTTTAACTTTACCTGATAAATAAAGATAGTAATCCTATTCAAATCTTGTTCTCATGAGGCTTACATCAGTGAACACACTCAGGACTGTGTCAGACACCTAATAAGAGCTAAATAAATACTAGGCGTCTCCTCCCAGTCCTCACTGCAGTATTCCAGTAATGCTCATACTGCAAAGTGAAAAGATTCATTTATAGACCATTATGCCTTAGAATTTCCCCATGTTTCTATACCGTGCACATTGTGTTTGATATAGTAATACACTATTACCATAGGCAGAGCATTTCTCATGTTTGACCTAAAGAGTTGAACTTTTCCTCAACCTTTATTTTCAATAAATAGCAATAGAATATTTTGATACATTTTCAATAAGTATCTTCATCTTGGCATTTATCTGGCGGCAGGAGACCATTATCTTGTGATAAATAGTTTTATTCCATTGACATTTCCATGTCTGTAAAATGAACAAGATTTATTCACCCAATTAACATTTGAATGTCATGTTTAGCTACAAGTTAAAAACAAGCTGCCTTCAGTAACTGTGTTATATTGTTTTCTGAACACATTTACAGAGTAGAGACAAACTTTGCCCTTATGATAAGCACTACATATCTTCAAAACATGCACACGCACATGTGTATGTGTGTGCATGCATCTGTGTGTGTGTATGGGTATTGGAAGAGGACAATAGGATCTTAAGTATTCCAGTGTCAAATAGCAAACTAAATAATCAAATTATAAAAAGATGACATGCTTTTAAAATAATTTTCAGATGTCAAAGTTAGAAGAAATCAAGTTGTATGATAATAAAATATTAGAGCTGGTACAATTACTAATTTCATAAATAAGGAAATACACATCTGCCGAAATTATGCAGCTATTTCAGGACTGCACTGGAGCTATAACTCAGGTCTCTGGACTCACAATTCAGTGCTCTTCCTGCCATGCCACATTGCCTGTGAAAGCAGAGACTGCGTCCATCCTTTCATCACTGCAGTCCCGCTGTGTAGTTCTACGTCTCACTCATGCATTGCAAATGCTTTATAAATATTTACTGAATAAACGATAAGTAAAAGAATGCCTTCCTTAAGTTTATTTCCTCCAAGTCAGAGAAAGGCTTTGCAGACCTAGAGCAGAACGCTGGGCTTAATATCTGGTAATCAGTAATACTTTTAATTTTATTCCTGAAAATATTTCAGTCAACGATCTAAGGATGGAGTAGTAAATGGTTTCGATAGTACCACTGTCAAAAACCTGCATACTCTGCAGGAAACTCTAGGGCTAAATGCAATAATCAGCAGCATAGCAACAATGTGGAGAGAGCCAGAACAAAGGTGATAGAATATTTTCATCACATCTGATGTTAGAATTGAGGGTGTGTACCATAAGTTTTCAAACAACACCAAATTTAGAGAGAGAAAAAGATTGAACACCTCCAAATACAGGAATTAAAAAATGATCTGGTCAACTTAGAATAACAGATAATCACGAGGAGTTAAAAATAAGTTCAAAACAGAAAAAAATGCATGACATTCCTATATGCATGTGTTACCACTTGCTATAAAGACAACAGTGTATTTTAAGTGAATGCATGTGAGTGCATTCTCAAATGCATTTACAGAACTGTTTAAAGACACATGTATTAATGATAGCTAAATGAATGCTTGTGCAAGCTACCTTGACAAAAGTGTCAATCTCTCCAGTTGCTGCTAATCGCTTACACTATAGGAGAGCTGGGCAATATAGCTTTGTCTCTCACATATAGATACAACAATAATGATTTAATAAAGTACAATGCGGGTTCTTTTTCCAAGCCTTCATCATTGGTTTGCTAATCATAGCTCAGGCCTCCATGATCAAACACATACAAAAGTTAGTTTTGCATTTTTTTATACAAAATAAAAAAAAAATGACCTCAGTAATGTCTTCAACTATCCATACACAATCGATATCTAAAATACTTTCAAATATGATTGTGACTAATTAATTATTCCAAAAACAAAATGGAGCTTTCAGAAATCCCACTGAAATCAATGAACTGAGATAGTCAAATATACAAAGAACCACATCACAACAAGAGCTTAAATATGGTCAACACTTGAAGAATTTTGTAATTTTGTATCTATTTACTTATTTTTGAAAACTGAAGACCCATACTTTACCTCAAAATCAAGTGTGGGCATAAACAAATACTTGGCTAAGTTCATTAACACATCATGCACCTTCATGTTCAGGTCAAGGTATCTTCAATCAGAAACTCGAAGCCCTGTTAAGAGGGTCTATGTTCTCTGTCTGGCCTCAGTCAGAGGAGACATTTCCATATTCGATCAACAACTCTCTAATTTCAGACCCTAGATATTCGACAGCACCACTTTGAACATGCTTAGAAATCTCATTAATCACACAGAGGCTGAGAAGCTCAGTAAAATCCCTTGCATACTTGAAAAAGTGAAGTAGAAGCTGAAATATTTCAGCAGTAACCCACAAAGTGAACATGGTAAATTAAGGTAATTTATTTCACAACAAGCACTTATTGAGTGCCTACTATGTGTCTCTATCACCTGGAATGGTAATACACATTTGAGCTAAAGGAATATTCTGTCAGCGACCTAAAATGTCAATGACAAAAGAATAAGAGACATTGGATGAAAAATAGAATAATTAAAAAGTACAATCTTTAGCAACTGCCAGTAGCATTTAATTTAACATTTTCATATAAAACTTCTGGGTTGAATAATAACCTACCTGTCAAGTAATCTATATATTACTCAAAATGTGCAGCTTTCTAAATTAAATTTCTCAAGGCTATTAGTTTTCATGAACCAAACACCAGTGTGAGATATTTCACTAGCCGTACCTCACTCTAGTGCAAGCATGCTGAAGTCACCTTTATCTAACTATGCATAGTTTGATGAAAATAACACTTAAAATGAAGATTAGAGAAAGTATACATTATTTAGAGTAAGTTTAAGAATGATGTTCTTGGGCTGGCCGAGTGGCGCGATGGTTAAGAACTGGCTTCGGACGCCAGAGGGCCCTGGTTCAGATCCCACATATGAGGGCCAGTGACACTGCCCTCTACAGCTAAGATGCTGAACAACAGCTCAACCTGGAGCTGGGCTGCTGTGAGTCATCAGCG